TCAACAAATCCCAACACTTACGATGACTCAAATAATAATACAAACGCATTACCTACGGCACCCCATTTGCCAAATCTACATCATAATCTTCCATTATCATTAGTCTCACGAAATTTTCGAAACTTAGCAATCACAAACCCCCCAAACTTAAGACCCAGCCACATACAAAGCCCCATCCAATATATAGCGAAACAACACCCACCAATTGACAACACATACGAACAAATCATTGAACAGTCCCATACCACCACTTTTCAGTCTCAAAATAATCATTTTTTTAGCCAACGATAAGCAGACATGTTGGATCACTCCACCGATCAAACTCCCACCCTGCCAACCTCAAAAATCCTTTCCCTATTATCCCACTTTTTGCTTTTCCGCCACCTGATTTACCACAAGCCAATACAACATCAGGCATGAATTCTGACACTAACTCAGATATCACAATTTATACAACTATTTCACAATTCAATAATTCTGATATCGAAACCCCCGATGAGCTCGCAGATTCCGAACCATCCCCTTCTACTCATACCCCGACCAGCTCAACAACCTTCTCAAAGCCCCCTTTCCGACCTATCCAATTCCGAAGCCAACATACATCTCCCTACACTCCTTCTCAAGTAACCCCAACCTACTCCCCATTTAATAATGAACGCTCCACCAACAACTCCCCAGATAATATTCAAATTTCCGAAGAACTAGATAATTTTATAACACTCCAACAACAATTGCTATCTCCCCACACCCTAACTATTCACCAATTATCATCAACAATAAAATCATCAAATCCACCAACACCTACACCAATTTCAGATTATGCTCCATCATTAGCTCATTCATCCACTTCAACAGAATCATCCAATAGTACTAACCGTGCTTATAGAGTTTTTAAACGTAAATTCCCAAATCACCCATTCCCATCCAAACCCGGAACCGCCCGAGAATATATCAATCATCCAGACCACACCAATACTACGAACTTTCTTCAAATAACCCTACCTTTATTTCCCCAATAAACACTAAATCAATCCGACCCTAGCCCTGAACCACGTTACTTTGTAGATGAACAAGTACTAATACCCACACTTCATTGGACAGCTTATTATAATTTCACTAACCCCCTTACGCTACCACTCTATAACACCACTATCGATATTGAAAGAAATAAAGACGAATTATTCAGATTCGACACAGCACTCACTCCCCGACAAATTACATACGTAGGAATTAAAAAGTTACTAAAAACGTTCACTGCACCCCGCGCTAACGACTACTCAATTGAATATTACGATCATAAAATAATCAGATCTAATCAAGACCAATTACTTGACGACGATAAATTCGCTAATCCACAAATCACAGAAAAATTTTTTTTTATTAAATCATCATACATATTCACACTTAACATTCTTGATAATAAGCATGATCACCTTATTTCAGAAGAACTATCAGACATCCAAGCATATGAATCATTTCACGAAAAATTTCAAACATTTTCCTTAACCTTTCACTTCCTGACACCAAAAGAACGCGATTCGCACTGCTCACACGACATCATGTTGAGAACTAAGGAAACACACACCTACACTTATTATCGTTTTATCCAAAATCATTTTCATTTACACACACCATCACGACAACCTCACCACAGATTTCATTTCATTAATTCCAAATAAAGCTCACCGTTCTTCCTAAATTTCACGTATTGCATTAAAAATACTAATTTCCAAGGCATCCTCCGGAATTATGATCCAGTCATATATAATTTGTCCACTCACGAAGACCTTCAATGACGAAAAATCCCGACCCGTGATCATTCTGCATGAATATATTCAACCCATAGAAGTACCCATTTTAGAATTCATCCACAACACTAAATACAATCAAAAAACTTATAATCTAATCCAGAACACACCTCATGAATTTGCAGTAGGCACCGAAGAACTAAAAACCATAAAAGCACTACAATTGCTTTGGCCACTGCTACAAACCAAAAACATAATACGCATACTAGCAAAACTACTAACTACCTCAGATGCTACTCACGACATTTTCCCTCACGGCTTTTTCCCCGACAACTAAAGGTAACTATGAATTTAATAATTTTCAAACTAACTAATTCAAAATAAAACTAACCATTTTATTCAGTAATTTGCATTTTCTTTAGTCTTCACACCGCGATCATCTTCAAAACAAGAAAAGACAAATTAAATTACAAACTTTGTTTTCCATTTTAAACTCTATTAAACCAACAGCACTAAATGATGCACTAAAAGTTAATTCAAAGTAGTAAATTCATTTCCAAATTATTTCCCCAAATGTAGTAATTTGAAAATACGATGAAAATCAATTAATACTTTTCAACCCCAAAAACAGTAAAATTTAGCACTAAAAGCAGTAAATTCATTCAAATGAAATGCAGTACTAACGTTTCTATAACTTCTGTTTAAACGCACAGAAATTCTATCCACAATCGCACAGCTCGCCCACGAAGAATTGTTTAAAATAATGAATTCAAGTTTCAAGTTTGCACTAACAACAACTCAAACAAGTAATATTAAGTTTCCACTTTTCCTTTAACCCGGTTGGAATGGAATAACAAAATAACCAAACTAATCAACGCAGCTTACTTAACATCATACACCATAAATTAACAGCATGACTAAGAAAAAAAACCCACGGTACCCAAACCGAATTGAACCAGCTTAAAACTGGATAAATTATTCTTTTAAAGACTATTACCAAGTCTAAAAAAGAAACAAAAAAACATCAAAAAGTCTCAAGACATACCCAAACCACAAACAAGTTGATTTTTGAGAAAAAGACACAACCAAAGAAGCAAAAGGAAAACAAAAAATAATATATAACAAAAGTAAACACAAGAAAGGACCCCTTAAAAAACCAGCACAAAATCATACTCCCCTTCCTGGCCTAACCCACCAGAGAGGACGTCCTGCGCATGCTCTATAGCCGGCCTAACCCACCGTGCTACATCCACGCTTTGTGACCACATCACTACTTTTGCCAAGAGATATTCAAGTGTGAGTAACTCTTAAAAATAACTGAACTAAAACTAAAACGCTTTTGCGAAAACAATTAATCAAAATAATTACTAAAAAATAGAACTAACAAAATTTTATAAAATGTAAATTATAATATGCAGTACATAGATCACGAATAACCACAAGAACGAGCATCCAAAGACTAGACGATTCCATCACACTCAACCTACAGGATGGCTAAATACAACTGACATCCCGCTCACAATTACAGCTCATAAAGGATTTAGAGTACGACTTGACTTCGCAGAAAAAGACTTCATTGAATCAGACCAATGACCATCTCGATGTTCAAGTATACGTACAGATCCGAGTTACAAGGCATCCCCTCCAAACACGATCTTCACGCCATTCCCAAACCAGATCGAAACACAATTCTCCACAACCAATCAAGAACAAACGATCATAACAAACCAACTTGAAATCAGATTGATTTCATTAACAGTCATAGTCTTTGTCAAACGATAACTAACAACTTCCTATCGATGATTCCAGCTTCCTGGAGCTTTCTTCTCCAAGAACAAAACAGGAAATGATGCTCGTCAAACAACAACGACCAACATCCCTCCTTCATTACAGATAGAAGATCTAAGATTCAAAACTCTGTAAAGCCCGGATGGGTGGAACCAGATATAAACTATATTTATTCTTTGGTTATACATTGGATATTTATCACTAAAAAATATTTAATATTAACCAATCACGATCCATCTAACTAACAATCCACTTATTTGTAAGTGCTGAAATTACTTGTAATTTCAGGTTCAGAGAGATTTGAATTTAACTTAGAAATTAGTTACCTCTCCAAGAGAACTTTAGCAACCGCAATAAGCCAGTATACTCTAGATCTATTGAGCCTAGCAGAGACTAGTTTAACACCCTGAGACTAGTAGATATAAGAGTAAGATTAGGATCGGTAATAGACTAAGAAGTTGCACGAATCTATCCGGCCGAAAATAAGATAGCGTGACGAGCAGACGGTGTACCCTATCCGAAATTACTCTATGAGTTACACCTCGAGCCTAACTCAATTTGTGCTTTTTGTTTTTTTTTCAGGAAAAAATAGTTTTTAGATTGTTCAAGCTCAAACCTTTTTTCTTATTTTGAGTGCTCAAATTTTATATTCTTTTGGTTATCGGAAAACACATTAAGGTATCTAATAAGAACTGTAAATTGATTGAAGCTTTGTTAAAACTGGCTTTTTACCTTCAAAAAGTATAATTGTTACATTTCACAGCAATTTTAAGATATACACCTTGATTCCACAAATTTTGAGTGTCAGCGACGTAATGAAAAAACTTTCATGGATCGTTTTGATGTTTTTTTCTTTTTTAGGTTGCATCATTAAATTTTGTTCATGCCAAATAAATTTTTTGCGGATTCACGTTGTATTTCAGAAATAATGCGCAAAACGTAAAAAACTTCTAAATTCGAAAATTGTATTTGATATTCAGAGTTCCCAGCAAATTAAAATTTTTCTTCCGACACAAAAAACACTTTCTAAACTTTGAAAATTTTATCCAAAAAATAAATCATGAGCTGTCCTTAAATTCGAAGAGTTTTAGGACTAGATATTTTTCATTTAAGGTTTGAAGTTTTTTTTTTTAAAAAAATAGGTTTTCCTTGCGCTCATTGTCTACATCCCTACTCTTTTGGCTACCTTTTCAAAGAAATGAGTTACGTTTGATCAGAAAACGCTTCCAGAACAGTTTTTGTTTCTTAAAGTCTTGTGAATTGATATATTTTTTCTGAGAAGCTCCAAAGTTCATGAAAAACCAGTATTTTTGTCAGTTTATATTTGCATTCAGCCATAACCGAAATTATCATAACAAACACCAATTCAAGCCAGCCTCTGAAAAAAAATCAAAAATCTTTGAACAAATTAGTATTGTGTACCTAGGTAATGAGTCATAAATGATCACATTTATTGTTTTTCAGGCACGATGTTTCTTCGAACGAACAAAGATATAACGGATGACATTACGATGAAGATGTTGTACTTTGTGCTGTGCTACGTGGTCATTCTGTCAATCTCCGCTCTCCCATTTTTAATCGTTATGCGACCAGTTTTCCTCAAAGTATGACACTCCAATTTCTTATATTACAAGAGTTCTTATTAGAAATTTTTGCCAAAGATCGTTTTTCGAATTCACTTTCCAAACAAAGATAAATTTTCGCTTTTAAATAACAAAAATGGAATCAGCTACTCACAAATTTCTTTTCCTTTGTTGTAAATTTTGATTAAAAAAACGCGCAAAATGAAAATATTTTAGATCAAATTTTATTTTTGATTTCCCAACAAGTCAATCAGCGAAAGGAAGACTCAGGCTTTTTGGAATTTTTCGTGGTTTGACTTTTGATGTGTTTTTAAGTTTAATTTGATTACAAACTCTACTATAAAACAGCGAAGTATAGAGGTCACGAAAAACGTGATCGACCTGTAGTTTCAAAAATGGGATTTACTTTTCAGATTTCGCCGCGAAACAAGAAAAATTATCTATTTATCCGGTTTTCTCAAATTGGGGTAATTTTATCGGCAAAGTGTCAATCATAACTGGTTCTAAGAACTCGAAGGGCTTGAAGGCTATCAATTTGATACTTTTTCAAAAAACAAGTCAGTAATTTTTTCTGTTTACTTCTGACTTCTGACTCTTTTCAAGCGTTCTGACTATTTTCAAACTGTCAGTTGCTATGTTTTCTGTTTTTTTTTGCGCGCGCATTGACTTTTTTCCATTTCTGTTGGCGAAGTTTCAAATCAAGAAAAATTGGAACTGCTTTGCAGTTTTGAAAATACGGTTTGTCTTCTGATTTCTTTTAAAAATCATTTAAAATCTTTTGTTGAAAGAAGAACGATATCCTGTATCGACTTGTAGAACTGTAAAAATTACTAAAAAATTGATCATCATCTAACTTCGAAAATGGATTTACATTATCATATTTTCCAGCAAATTTTTTTTTCCTTTTATCCACTTTTCTAACATTGGAAAATCTTTATGAAAAAGTGTCAACAGAAAAAAAAAAACCATCTTTTTTTTCACGGAATTTTGAAAATTGAGATCAACATTTTTTTTCTTAACAATTTGCTGGCGGCTATGTTTTTTATCTGTTATCATAAACTGTTTTTAGAATTTAGATTTTTAGATTTTTTGGGCTCAATTTTAGATTTTCAGGCTCAATTTAAAATTTCTAGGTATTTTTTTTAAAAACCTTTTAAGTTCAGTTCATTTCCTATGTTAAAAGAAAGACAAACTCCGCTATCGAACAGAAAAACTGTAAAAATTGCAAATTTTGAATTAACTTTTATTTCAAAAACAAAAATATATATATTTTCAGATTTTACAGCAAAAAATTTTCATTTTGGGCTCAAATTTACTTTTCGCGGTTTGTTTTTTAATTTTCAAGGTGTTTCTTTTGTTGAAAGGACGAAAATTCCACTCCCTAACAGAAAAAAAGTTATAAGTACAAAAAACATGATTTTTTCTAATTTTGAGAATGAATTTCATTTACAGATTTCCCAAAATCACAAAAAAATTTACCGATCGATCTAGTTTTCTCAATTTGAATTAAATTAAAAATTGTCAATCTTAATTTTATCTTGAAATTCAATCAACTTGAGGCCATGTATAATTTTTAAAAATGGAAGTAAGATTTTTTTCTGTTTAATTGCGTTCATTGAATCTTCTCTAATTGTCTACTGGCTATGTTTAATCGTCAATGAACGTAGTTCAGACTATTAAATAAGTTGTTTGATGATTTTTTTCTTTTTTTTTCAGGAAAAATTTCGAAATTTTGGCTCAAATTTAGGTCAAAATTTTGGCTCAAATTTGTTTTTTCTTGCAGTTTATTTTTGTATTATTTCAAAATTCAGAAGGAACGCTATCTCCACAATCGTAAAGATTACGAAAAACAATATTGATTTGTAATTTTGAAAATGGAATTTGATTATCAGTTTTCCCAGCGAAATAAAAAATTACTAATTGATCCAGTTTTTCAAATTGGAATAGTTTTATCATACAAATGTTAATCATATATTGTTCTGGAGATTCAAAGAGCTTTACAGTGAACTAGTGTTTTCAAGAATATTCCCAAATTAAAGATGTTGAAATTCCCAAGTTGAAATTACAAAATTGTCCGAATTTTTTTTCTGTTCTCTTGCGTTTATTGACTCTTTTTCAACTGTCTGCTGGCTGTGTTCTAAAACAACTAACTTAGATGTTTCTTGTATTTTTTTTTATCTTTTCAATTGTTTTCAAAAATTTTAAGTAACCTCATATTTGTTGGGGCAAATCAGGGCAAATTAACTTTAAGCACGAGTAAAAATGTGCAAAAAATTAAGCTATTTTAATGATGTATGGTGTTAACAGGAAAGATCCAATGGTTTAATTGACACTGGGCCATATGTCATCGCAACGTTTATAGGTAAGAAATTTATGCCATCACCAAAATATTTTTTCAGGAAATATAGTATCTTGGAAATATATTATCTAAATAGGAAACAGAAATCAACTGTAACACACATTTTGAGCATACAAGTCGCACTGCTTCTGGTTTCTTTTCAGATATTTTTTTTGTCTCCGCAAAACTAAAACACACTGCAAAATTTTCGAACCGTAAATTTTTTTTGAGTGTTAATGAAAAAATTGAACATATATTTTTTGGCTCATGTGTTTTTTTTAATTAATTTTTCATTACACTCAAATTTTTTTGTCGATTAATTTTTTGTAATTTTTTGTGTGCAAGATATTTTGTGCATATGCAGCATTACATCGAACACTTTTTAGGATAAAATTGTCCGATCTCCCAAAGCCGGGTTTTAAAAACGAACATCTTTTTCTGATCCCTGCGAAGAAATTAGACAGGACGTGTATATTTGCAGGCATGATACCTGGTGTGTTGGTGATTTCTCTCGTGACGTCACTCATGATTGTGTACATGACAGATGTAAATGGGTTCGGTATCTTCTTCGTCACCACCTTCCTCGTCCTCATGAATGCAGAGTCCTTCATGTACATGGTGTCCACATTCACAGACGAGCACGTGACTGCCACTGCCATGGCGGCCGCCTTCTTCGGCACATTCATGATTTGTTGTGGGTTCCTTCTACAGAGAAGCGTGAGTGATACACCGTAGTTTTTAACCCGCAATTTCAGTCCTCTGATATGAACTTATTGGAACCTTAGAAAAAAAATTTCTACATGGTATGTTTCTAAAGTAGAGTTCACACCCGTAATAACGTTCTCATAACGAGGAGTGCTGGAAGCCATTCGATTTAAACTTTTTGGGTATTGGTACTCAAAAAAGGGAATAGGCATCGTCACCTCTGATCTTTAATTGACTAGTTTTGTGCTCAGCTCATCCCGGATTACTGGATCTGGATGTACTATCTAGCCTTCCACACGTATGCCTTGAGAGCCTACATATACACTCATCTGGACGGAGTGGATGGGAACAAGACCGAGGAAGCGATTGCGAAGCATCTTCTGCAAGAGATTGACATGGATGACGTGGACATAGGAACGGAGCTGGGAGTCCTGACCGGATACATGTTCATCGTGTTCTTAATCTTCACACTGGTGATGCAGTTCAAACACACGGGCAAGAAGTAGACTGAACAATCAGCCGACATATATAACAACTCTCAATTTGCGACAACAAAAGCAATAGCAATTTTATGATGATTTAAGTGAAACTATAAAAAAACACCCCAAACTTTTGGCACCACGGTTGACACAGAAGTGCTATCTTGAAGGATGTTGTATATTTTGGTCTTTGACAGCGTTGACTAACTACTAAAGCCCACTACTTCTAACTGACAAAAAATTCAACATAGGTTTTTGATCTAAATATGAGCCAAATTTCATGACCGTTGAAACAAGAGAGCAAAAAGTTTCACGCTTGTGTCAAGCCGAAGTTTCACTGACAAAAAGTTAGGGAAAAGTACTTGCTGCAAGTAAATTATTGCCTTACTTGTACCGAATTAACTATATTGATTTATTTGAAAAATAACTTCGATTGAGTTGTAATTGATTTGCAATTGAACGGTAAACTTAAAAATTATTTCTGAGGCTGAATGGTATTTAAAAATTAAGCAACCAACCCAATAATCTTTAAATGGAGAAAAACCAAAATTAAGAGATACATAAAGAACGGTTTTTAATAAATAGAAGGCTGCTCACATCAGAGAAAAGACCCGACTGGCTTTAACCAAACTTTTCGCAACATGCAATGCGACGTAGAAAGCATTGTTTGGCAACTAGTTATAACTTATTGACCAATTGCTTCCCTCATTTCAATTCAAAAACAATTTTGTGACAGATTATCCCTGTCTTACGCAGAAGTCATCAGAAACGATTAGTTTTCATCAGAAACAGACCATCAGAAACAGTTTTTCATAAAATGTAATGTTGTCTGGCAAAAACTCTGCCCAAATAATGCGCCGTCAATTTCTTTGAAAGTAACTGTGGTTTGTGCGATTCGCAGAGGATCTATTCCCGGATCGAGGTCCGCGACTCATGTCCAGACTTCGCGAACTACATTTGGCATGTCCAATTTTTGCGGCCAACTGTAGACATGTCCTGGCTCACAACCGAAACTTAGTTTTTTTTCTCATATTTGCGACCAAAATGAACCGTCTCGTTTTTGGCGACCGAGACGGAGCTGGCGCGGCCAGAAATTTGTGACACATAATTGGAATGACCAGACTTTTGCGGCCAAATATCGCAACTAATAGACTTTTGCGGCTGTAAAGTTCAGCTGTGGCTTTCGCGACCAAGGTGAAGGCGCAATAAGGAAACAACGCGGCAGATACGACCAAACCCAGCCATTTCTAAACTTTGGCGACCGAAATGGAGACGACTCGACTTTTGCGACGAAGCTGGAGACGGCGCAACCAAGAAAAAATCTTTCAGATATGATCAATTGAAGATTATCCTGTGTGTTAAGGATAATCAGTTTGTCTTATTTCCTCACATTCAAGACTGAGTAATTCCTATTTGATAAAAACAGGTTTTATGAAAATAAATGGGATCGTGTTTTCTATTTTTTTGAGACGTTTTGGAAATCTTTCGTTTTTCTCAAAAGCTAACCCACCGGTTTTCAAAAGATTGTTAGCAATGGGAAGTCCTGCCACTCCCTTGTGTCTGCATACTCTCATAATCTCTTTTTTTAACCTTACCACACTTTCTACAGCCTTCGAAAAAGCGTGTGGGGGAATTTTCGACCCATACTTTTGAGTTTCTTACATTTTCTCAAAAGTTACCCTCACAAATCTGAGATTATGAGCTCAATGGACAGAAAAAATTGCGGGAAGCTCTCGTGCTTAAGCGGTTACGCCGTAATTTTTTACAAAATAAGTTATGGGCTTTAAAGTTGAAAATTTTTAACTTTTCTCAAAAAATACCCTCCAAAATCTGAGATTTTAGTTTGAACCTAAAATAACTGTTGTGGGGAGCTCCCCTACAGTAGCGATAGCGCCCAAAATATTGTGCACAAAAATTTACCCTCGAAAAAGTAAGAATTTCGATTTTTTGACAGTTTTTTGAAACTTTTAGATTTTTCTCAAAAACTAGGCTCCCAAATCTGAGGTTTTAGTTACAATGAGTGGACCGGTTTGTGGAAAACTCTGCTAGATCAATGATTTTGACTAAATTTTTTACACAGAAAGTTAGAACCCGCCAAAAAGTCAAAATTTGGATGTTTTTGACCGTTTTTTAAAAACTTTTAGTTTTTCTCGAAAACTATCCTCCGAAATCTGAGATTTTAGTTTCAATCAAATAAACGTGTTGTGGGGGACTCCGCTGCATAAGCAATAGTGCCCAAATTGTTGTACATAAATTGAGTAGAACGCATTGCGAGAAGCTCCACTGCATAAGCGACTACGCCTTAACTTTTTTGCATAAGAGTTTATGGCTCTCAGAACAGTCAAGTCATCAAGTTCCTTGCCGATTTTTGAAACTTTTTTCTTTTTTCAAAAACAACCCACCCAAATCTAATGAGCAACATTTTAAGCATCTTTTAATCTAACAAATTTTTGTAATCACTTCAATATTCAAGAAAACTGAAGTAGATGTTGAATTTAACATAACTTGAGGTCATTAAAATGGGATTTACTTTTCGTTGCTATTTTGCAATTACGTTTGTCCTTCCGTATCAGCACAAAAGTTTCAAAAATTATCAAACAGGTATTTCTAGCTTTAGCTAACATCTATTCACAAGCTTCGAAAATTTTATCAAAAAATTTTGTTTGATAAAAATACGTTTTATGAAAATGTATGGGATCGGGTTTTTTTCTTTTATAACAGGCGTTGGGACACTTTTTCAGCTTTTTCGAAAAAAGTTTTTTCCTTGAGAAAATACTCAGCTGATTTTCAAAAAAAAACCAGGAGAAGTCCGCGTACTCCCTGTGTGTCTGCATAATCTCATAATCTCTTTTACGTTCTTAAATTATGTTCTCTTATTACTCATAATCTTTTTTAAAATTCTTTTGAAAATAAGATTTTTATTATGATTCGATATAGTTTTGAAAATATTGATTATTCGAGATCTGATGATGCGAGACTGTGTTACGAAAAAAGTTACAACCGACTGCATACAAAATCAATTTAACATGCAAAGACCAAGTTGATCACCAGATATTAGCTTAGCTTAGTCTCAACTCGAACTATCACACCCTCTAGTTTGTTATGTTTATCAAAAAATGAGCGTGCAAAATTCTTTTTCAGAACAACAGATTGTACTTTCATAGGTATTTGAGCATACCTTTCAGAAATAATAAACACATAGATAATTTGTTCTAATCTCAAGCAATCACCCAGATACACATATGTTTAAGCTCACAAAAACAAATACTTAGTTATGAACCCCCATGAACTTTGAAGTCCCAAATTCTTGGTTGTGAAAACTGTACTGAAATTTTTTGCTTCTATGAACTCGAGAATTAATTTTTATCTTCTTATCAATCCAGTTTTGTTCAGTTAGTTCTCTTCTCATGTTTAACCATTTCCTTCGACAAAGGTGAGTACGGATGAAGCGTTTTTGAAAAAGATAATGTAAATGGCACAAAAAATCAGTGGGTGCATATTAGGTAGCCAACAAGAAGCGAGTTGAATATAAAATTAAGCAAGCTCCAGAGAGCCTTTACTCGAAAGCACGATAGGTCCAAATAAATCATTCGTGCCGATTGTTGAGTTATTATTCGCAAAATCGCTATGATCGTTAATTTTGATGAATTTTGTGTTATACGACATTTGAGATGGTGCAGCTCAACAAAACTGCCCATATTAATGCGAAGCTTCAAGTGATTTGACCGTTTCTTCACCGTGTTGGAATCATTTCTGGTTTTAATTTTCGATACAGATTTTTTAAAAACGCATAAGAATTGAACTAAAAAAACAATTCCCAAAACTTTTTCAGGTTGACTAAATCGAATTTTCGAGCTTTTCCAAAGCACTAAAAAGACCTTGTTTTGGCCAAATATTCTGCGCCGCAGGCAAAATTTGGAAAAAACAGGCCAAGAAGGCGTTCTTAGGTACTTTTTGGAAACTTTTGACCGTAAAATCGCATTTTTTGGTGCGCACTCCCCGCTCAAAATTGGTATGTTTAGGCGCCTAGGGGCCTTTAGAAAAATTTTAGGGTCAGTCAGCCAAAAATGGATATCAAATTAGTACAAAGGGACCCTTTGGGTCGGCAGGGGGTCGATTCCCTGAGTGGTTTGGGGGGAGGGAGTTTAGCCCCCAGCCCCTTCCCCCTCCTAAATCCGCTGGTGCCCGCAACCCAGAACTCGCAAGAAATTCAAAACCGCGTACCAAACACAAGTAATATTTCCCAGTGTTTCCTCTGTTTCTTTTATCTTTTATTGTTCCATTTAAAAAATTATGAGGAATATTCGAGCTCAGGTTATTTTTCTTTTTCTTTTTCAGCCAATTTTCGATCATTAAACTAGCAATTTTTGATGGAATGTTTTCACTATCTTCTGAAAAGTATTCATCAAGTGCCCAGCAAAAAAAGCAATATTTGAACTGTAATCATTTTCGCAAAGATATTTGGGACTAACTTGCCAACTTTAGTTCAATTTGGGAGAAATAACCGATTAAGCGTCAACTGCAAACTAAATTGGATCTACTTAACAATTATTCATTTCGTTTTCAAGAAAGAGGGGGGAGGGGGAGGGGGTAATTGTTACGTAGATCAAATTACTATTTGAGTCCTCTTTGTAATATTTTGAGGTATCCAATTTTGGCTGACTGACCCTAAAATTTTTCTAAAGGCGCCTAGGCGCCAAAATATGCCAACATGCCAATTTTCAGGGGGAGGGGGGAGGGGGTTAGAATTTTTAGTCAAATTTTTCAAAACTTGGAGAACGCTTTTTTGGGCTGTTTTTTCAAAATTTGGGCGCAGAAAATTTTGTCAATATAGGGTATTTCTGATGATTTGGGAGAGCTCGGAAAATCAAATTGGTCGGCCAAAAAAAAGGTCTACAAAGATTTTGACATTTTTTGAAAATCTGCCCTCCCGCCTCGAGCCTAGATCCGCTCCTAATAGGAGTGTTAATTTTTCACTAGATGACATAGGAGGGGTGGGGTGATTGTTAAGTTGATCCGCTAAATCATTCAAAAGATATTTGGCAAAAAATTACTTAACGCCTGAGATTTATTATTATTACTAAACGCACGAGATTAGGCATTCTTTAAATAAGTATGTATAACCCGATTAAAAAAGAGAACTGAAACAATTCAAAGTGGTGCATTTTAAAGCGTGGAACAACAGAAATACATGTTTTTTGAACGTTAGTTTTTTCATGGAAAGCAAGTCTTATATTCAATGAAAATCTACGAGCCTCGATAACGTCGTTTTTTGACAAAGTTTCAATCAGTTTAAGACATACAATTTTTGAGATGGCAAACAAATATAAAACTTTATTAACCCTAGTTGAAATACAGCTCAAAAATCGCTCAAGATTTGAGCGGTTCGAGCGTTTTTATAGACGATTGCGCTTTATCCGCTAAAATCCTAGCAAGAAACGACCAAACCGTTCAAAACCGTTTAAAGCTGCTCAAATTCTAGCCATTTTTTTTTGAAAATTTAAAAAAAAAATTTTTTTTTAAATTCTCCTTCCGATGTATTCGTTAAAATTCACACAGAATCTGAAATTTAAGAGTCTGAACTTCTAACATTCCGTAATACCAAAATATAAGCCGGAAAACAACCTAAAATGCTCTAGGGTCCAAAAAGCAGCCGTCAAGTTTAATTACGTGTCCGAGAAAGTCAAATCAAAAACTGCTCAACATTTTTTTAAAAATCCGATACTAGTAGATCAAAAATGCGATTCGTGTTTAGCGCCTTTTCCGAGCTCTACTGCAAATTCTGACCCTTTGTCAAACTTCAAATCAAACTCATCTTTGTCCTCACACCCTCATCACAGAGGAGAGGTATCACTCAACAACTATGGCAACATATAGACGTATGCCTCTATTTGGCGTGGACGATGATGTTTCTGTTGAATGTCCGGGATGCATTAAAACCTTCCATTACACAGAAGATACCTTTGAAATCCCATGCGGACATTGTCTTTGTAAGAGTTGTGCTATGGACCTTGCTTCAAAGACAGTGCAGCAATGTCCAAATAAGGAATGCAAAAGCCACAAAGTGTCACCCAGGCGACTTCTTAAACTCAAATTTGAGGATTTCCCTAGCAGACCTGCATCTGCTTTGGACAAAAACTCGATTGTCTTGCCACCACCAGAACAAGGTTTGTTCATTTAAAAAAAAAACAGCTAAATTGCGTCTTGCTATCTCTGAATATCAGTGTTACGCAATTTGAAGACAATCTTTAGCAGCTGCGAAAGAAAAATTGATAAAAAATCTGAAAGTGTATTGGTTGAATAAAGTGCAAAATTTGGTGGGTAGTAGAATTGCTTTGACGAAAAAAGTTCGAGCCTGAAAACACTTGGCAAGTAATTGTTCCGACTTTCAAAAAATGCGGGAGTGACAAAATATTGTTTTCAGCTGTTTATTCGTTTTTTTAACGAACAAAAAAGTTTTGCAAGCAAACAAAAAACATTACGAGGTCAAAATGTGCATTTGCGCATTGTACGCGAATTCCGCAACGTTTTACTTTTCTTTGGTCTTCTTCGCTGTTTTGGATTTCACAAACAAATACTTAAAAGATTGTACCGCTCAAAATCGCTGCAAAAATAGAAGAATTTGCGGAATCGGCAACCGTTTTCGTGGAATCCAGAACCGTTTGTGGAATCCACAAACAAATAATAAGACACGTGTTTAACTAAATTGAGCTGTTGCGGAATCCGCAAATGTAAGCGGAATCCGCAACTTGTAACTGGAATCCGCAAATTGTAAGTAGAATCCCCATTTTGTTTGGGGATTTCGTTTAGATATATGTATATATGTAGTAGCGTTTAAAGTTATAACTTTACAGTGCAATGCGGTCACTAGCAAGTTCAATCTCAATGACTAATTTACTATGTTCATCAGCTACCTATTGAAATGCCTAATCTTCGATCTGAATTTCTGTCAAACACCCAGCTTCAGTTTTTGGGAATAATGGAATCCCAAATAGTGACCAGTATTTGAGATCGATGGATTCCCAAATACTGACCTAATTCGGCGATATGCTGCACATTGTGTTTCTATACACTCTCGACGCACCGACTCCAAATAATGAATTTATTCCATTTTTGCTCCTTATTATTCCAGTATTTTGGAATCCATCAATCTCAAATGCTGACCAGTATTACGGATCAATGAAACCTAAAAAACTAACAGAAAAAGGCGATTTTTTCTGCGGTGTGTTTCAAACATTCTCACCAATGACACCAAACAATAAATGTATTCCATATTTACTCCATAATAGTCCCGTTTTTGAACAACCATCAGTCCTAAATACTGACCAGTATTTGGGATCGATGGAGTCCCAAACACTGAATTAAATTGGCGATATTGTGTGCGTTGTGTTTCTAAACACTCTCAACCCAGTTACTCCAAACAATGAAACTATTCGGTGTTGTGTTTCAAAACTATGATCCACCAATTTAATTTAAAAAGGTTCTAAGATTTGTTCGTGGATTCCACTGAATGGTTAGGTCCTTGCTTTTAAATTTCTCATTGATAAAAAAAGAATTCCAGATCTAGCTTTCAGTTGTTCATATGCAAGTTCAGTAATAAGCAAAATTCAGAATCCACTTACAGTTTGCGGATTCCACTTACATTTTCGGATTTCAGTTACTTTTTGCGGATTTCACTTATAGTTCCGGAGTCAAAAATAACTAGCTATTTTCGCTTGTTGCAGAATCGGAATATCCGACAAAATTTTTGTTACAGTTATTTGTACGCGAAATCCACGGAAAATTTGTAAATGGAATTCACTTACATTTTGGAACATGTTTTAATGATTTGTTTCGGAGAAATTATGAGGAGGAACTTTGTATTCGGAGGTGTTTTAGGTTTTTCCTAATTTTTTTTCAACAAACAAATAGGTACCACAAATAATCTTTGGACTGGGTTGAGTGATATATCATATTAAAAACACTTCAGTCTGATTCGAACCAAGTTAAAATTGATTTTTTGTTTTATTACAATAGCGTAATTATGCTTAATTTCAGCCTGGACAATTTAAATTTAATCAATTGAAGTTAGCTTTTAGAGTTTTTAGCGCCTCATTAGGTATCAAAACGACCATAAACCTCAAAAATAAACTTTGAAAAATTTCGAACTTTTTTTTTGATTTTCAAATTTTTTTTTACCATTTTCTTCCCGTTTTTCTGGTAGTTTATCTTCAGAAGCTGTTTCCTCAATTTGCCTATTTTTTTACGACTGTCAATTATGCCTAAGTTCTAGTTATTCAATCAGATCTTTTTTTATCACAATACGCAGAACAAACGACGCTTAATTGAAAAAAAATATCCGTGCTACTTGCACATTAATAGGCGTTTTTGGTTTTAATTTTTATTTGTTATTTCATAGTTTTATATCTGTTTTCAATCTGTTTTCAAAGATCATCAAAGGTCTAAAAGCATCATTTTGTCATGAAAGTTTCAAAACGTTTGTCGAAAAACGGCCTAAAACAAAAATTCTAGTATTTCGTTTAGATCTTTTTATACGACGCCAAAAAAATTTATACCACGCTACTTGCACAGTAACCTTGTTTTTATTTTCAAATGCTATTTCATAGTTTCATGTATATTTTTGATCTGTTTTTTGAAACATACGCAAAATTTACATGTTTTCAAAAACATCATTCTGCTATGAAGTTTTTAATACGTTTGTCGAAAAACGGCTTGAAACGGCTTTCAATCTGCTTTTTTGGCCTCAATCATATTGATGATCAAGCATATAGATGAAACTTTGAAAAAAATTGGAACACGTTTATCACGCACAAAACCAATAAATTATGAATTTAATCTTTTTCGGTTCTGAATTTTCGAAACAATTTTTTTAAACGGAAATTCTTGTGATACCTGTAAAAAAACCACCTTTTTAAAATTATTTTCTTTTTTGATGATTTTTAGGCCCTGTAATGGCCTCTCCAAACTTGAGCAAAACTAATTTTTTGAGAATTTGTTGGATCGAATAAAAATGGAAAAAACAGTAGTTTTTTACAAAACATCACAAATGTTTGATGAGCAAAAAAAAAATCAGAAAAAACACCAGAGAATAGTTTTTCCTTGTCACTTGAAATTGGCTATGAAAATTGAATAACAGATAAAAAAGTTTCTCAGCCTCAAGTTTATTTCTTGCTGCACATGCAGAGCAAAGTCGACAATAGTTAGCATGGGTGGTGGTGTTGAAATTTAGGCCCAAAAAACTATATCGTCAAAAACAAGGATGACCTGAAGACAAAGAAAAAAACTATATTTGAATCAATCTGGTAGGAAATAAGTCGACCATTTGACACAGAAGTACTTTTGAATGTTTCATAATGTCTCAAAAAAATCTTTTGTAGATTTTTCTTAGATGAATTAACTTGAAAACAACGGCAGCATACAAAACAACTGAAGATTTTTTTGCTTTTTGTTGATGATAATGTTGAAGTTTTCAAACTTTTCTTGTTTTTCAGAGATCAAAAGTTTTTTTCAGGTCAAACTTAAACAAATATTTTGCACATACTGACTGGTCTATCATATACCAGCAAACAGATGCACAAAACATGTTTTCCGGTTTCCTTGATATTTTGAAAAAAAAAAATTAGTTTGGACAAGCATTTACCTATTTAAAACAAAACCAATTGGATTAAAAACTACGAAAAATTAAGAAACCGTGGTTGACAAATAATATTAAGCAGATGATCAAGGTAAAACATTGGTTTTTCAACAATTTTTCAACAATTTTCAAAAATGACTGAACAGATGCAAATCAAATATTTTATAGGAAGGCAAAGAAACCTTGTAACTAGACTTTTGAAAAACACTGAGAAAAATTATCACAGAACAGGTTTTCAGAAAATGATAAAAAAATCGGAGAACACTGAAACTTAATTAACTCAAAGATGAGAAAAAGTAATAATCACACAAAAACAAGTTTTTCACATTCAATTTTAGACGAACGATTAACTGATCAATATGATTTAGCAAATTTATTAAAGCGAGCTTACGCAGAAGTATAAATGAATTTTCCGCGGTAAACACAAAGAAGAAATCTTTTGAGGGTCAGGGAAAAATTTTCCCTGTTAAAATTCATTCGAATTGGGGCAATTACTTGAAAAGAACTGTTTCTGTCAATTGATAACGTACAAAGTGAAACAAACTACTGGTCCTATAAATATGCATCTTGGAGCATTAGATCTTCAAATTTGCAACGGGTAAACACCAACAGCCGTCAAAATTGAATGCATCAATCTTAAAAAAATGGAAAAACGAAAGTTTTCATTCTCTGTGCTAACGACTTTCTTTCAACTTTAACCGATTTAGTTTGCATATGATAGCAGTCTAATTTGAACCAGAAATTCTACAAGTTATTGCAAGGTCATTCTTAAAATTTGCTTGATGACCTCGATGTTTTAGTTATGACCTTTAGTTATTTTTGAAACTGGTTTAGTCTCAGTTTTTTTGTTAAAAATCACAAAACAGAAGTTTTGTTTTCGGGGAGTTATCTAGAAGCTTTTTTGGAACAAGATTTAAGTTTTTCAACTCAAGTTATCAATATTTTATGCAAAATCGCTCAATGAATCCGTTCACTATACCTTATTAGGAACATAAAACTCTTTAAGTTTCGGACTAGTGTCCTTAGTTTTATCCCAGACAAGAAAAGCGAAGTTTTCTTTAAAAATTTACAAATTATACGAATGAAAAGAATCAATAAGCTAAAAAAACTGGGTATCAAAGTCTGGTTTTTTTGTAGGAAGTTTGATGGAGCACGTGATCATACGATAAAACAAAATAACTCCTTTAAAACTACTGATAGTGAATTTTCTCAATTTTTTCGATTGCTTGAAGAAGTACAAGACCCGGAAATGTTTTTTTTTGTACAAAACACTTAAACTGCATGAAAACGAGAGGACACTACAGGCAATACCCCAGAGTCGATTAAACAACAAAAAGGCAAAGAGTCAGGGTCAAGATGCTGCATTACAGAATGGAATTCAATGCCTAAAAAATTAAACTCGTCACATCTTGATAAAAATTCAAAGAAAAAATAAGATATACTTTCGAGAGAAATACGAATCAGTGCCAATTGATAGATCACTCGATCGATTTAGAAATTATTTCAACCAAAATTTCATAGAAAGCTAAATAAAATAAAAGTAAATAATTGGTGCCAGTGCAGTTCAATTTACAGAGTTGGTTGTTTTTGAAAGTAATCTTTCCTAGACATGTTTTATTAATCAAGATGTTAATAGAAACTAACATGTTCTGCTGGAAAGAAACAAAATGAGGTTCGTAAAATGTATGTTACTGGTGGTACTACAACATCATCCGTATTAAAATTTTTATTTTGGCCTCCAGAGACGTCTCGAATAACGCTTATTTTGTCGAATAAGGAACCTCCAGATGGGCATTTAGGATAATTTTCGGTAAATATATTTTTGATGCATGAGGTTTTACAGTAGAAATTTACGTTGAAAGCTACAAAAAATGCAAAAAACGGTTTCAAAAAAACTGGTTTTTTAATAATTTTTTGTTCGCATATATTCTCTGAACGCTTTTTTGCTCTGAGATATAGTTTCTAATTTGTGGTTATCTATTTTTTATAGTCAATCTTTCAGGTGTTTTGACCGTTTATTTTATTTTTTTTTCATCGACAGACTTTTTCAAGCTTGATGTACCTAAACTGTCACAGAGAGAGTTCTTTGCCGCTACTGTATAACCAAACGGTTTAAACGGAAACCATCAACCAAAAAGTAGGAAATTAAAAAACTGAGCAAGCTATTCTTAAAAAAGTCTTGTTTTGAAAACGTTTTTCCATGTTTAGAACGGCCAAGTACTGCTAGTTCAGTCGCATCTTCAATCCGATCTCATTCTGAGTTCGCCTCGATCGTTTACTGTGAGAAACACCCAACTTCCGCAATTCGCTACTTTTGCCACATCTGCGAAGTGGAGCTATGCGAGGAATGTTGGAAGAACGAACACGATGAAGAGGACTATCGCAAACATAATATAGGATTCATCAAGGTCAATCTAGAGCCTCAAAAAGAGATCCAAAAACGAATTGTGAAAAACAGGAAAGACTGTCAAAAAATGAGCCGCATTTTGGAGGACTGGAAGAAGATCATCCAACAGGCGCAGATTGCAGAAAATAAACAAAACGAAGTTTTGAAAGCTAGCACAGCCAATCAGCTTGAGCAGAAATCAGACATTGTTCGCAATCTGATTCAAAATCACATCACGGATGTTCGTAAATTTAGAGAAACTGTTTTTAACGAACTTGAAGAACTTGAAAGAAAGCAAAGATGCATCTTTGGGGATGCTTTCGACTCCGATTATGATAGTTTTCTAAATCGCAGCTGCTCTACTCCTGTCGAAACCAATTTTTCTTCTAGAAGCAGTGCGGCTCAAAGACAGGTGTTGGAACGCGTTCTACAAGAAGAGCTTCTCAAATTTAACATCGGTGACGATGCTGATAACTTTGCGATTCGTAGCTCCTCCACTCTTGAACGAAATGACATTTCTATGACAGTTTCTGGAGCCAGTCAGATTGCGAGAAGAGCGTTGAGGCGTTTGATGCAAGATGAACTTCTAAGTGATAGCATCGGAGGAGATGATTATACATTATCAACTCGTTCCTCGTCCCCTTCGATGCTTGACAGCACCATGACATCAGCAGGAAATCCGGACTTATCAGCAACTGCAGGTTCCAGCCGAGTCGAAATCTCAGAGGGTAGTTCAGAAAGCGCAGTTGGTGACAATCGACATGTGACTCCGGCTCAAGTGAATAAGAAAGTGGCTTCGACTTTGAAGAGAGGGAAAAAGAGAGAGTTAGTGCGAGTTACACAGAGTGCGATTGGAGATGAGGGGATTGATTGTCGTAGAGCTGTGTACAATACTGCCACGAAAGAAGTGATTTGCCTTAAATCCACTTTAACAGTGTTAAGATTAAACGGGCCAAATGGGAAGTTTGAAGTGAGTAAGGAGATGAATTTGAAATCAGACGCATATAACTATTTATGTGACATTACACTAGACAGCAATAACTCTCTCTATGGTTTGATTGAGAATCCGAAAAACGAAGTGAAGAGAGTGGCAGTGCTGGACATAATGAAGAACAAGGAACTGATCGAGGAGAGAAAACTACTCGTCACTAAGGGACTACCCAATGGAGAACGTGTATATTGGAAATTGTGTGCTGTAGGCGAGACAGTGGCTGTGGTAGTGGAGGATTGGAGAGGACGTGAGGAGAAGGAATGCAACAGTGTGACTTTGTATCGCAGTCATATCCGACAACAAACTGTACAACTCAATATCAGTTTCAACGATCTTATTCCCACTGATCAACTTGTGTTGGTGAATGAGAACACACTGTTATTTTTCTCTGATCATATAACAATAGCAGTGGTCTCTCTGCCTTCACAACAAACTACAACAGCAACAACATCTGCGCATACTTCTAAATTAACTTCAAACAGATCTCAAAAACTGCAGCCCAAATCCATCAAGTACATTCAACTCTCTGACACGGGATATATTCGGTCATTAGTATGGATACCATCTGAAGAAAGTGTGCAGTCAGATGCTGCGGAAGGGTACTTGTTTGCTTCAGATTCACGTGGTTTCTCTCATGTTTACAAAATAAATTTAGAAAAAGATATGGCAGAGGTGGCCGAAGGAGAGGAGAGAACAATTGCCCCTATGGAAGGAAAAGGTCGACTAGATAACATACACATTTGGTGTTCCATTGATAGCTCAACACTATTTGCTACTACCGAAAGGCCTTCTGGAAAGCCAATGCTTCTAAACTTAGAGTATACGACACCTTGAGTCTTCCCACTTATTTGGTCTAAATTAATTCTTAACAGAACGATTAAATAACAAATAAAAGATAGATCCTATCCATAAGCTAACTTTTGGCTCTTTGTAATTTTTTCAATTCATATGTGAGCAATTCGTGCCGAATAAGGCTCACACTTTAAACTGATTCAAAATACATTTTCAGCACTAACAAAGCCCTAGTTATTTCAATCTAATTCAAACTGTTTTCATCTCCTTCTATGGAACGACTTTACTCCTTTTATTTTTATTGATCAAAAACGCAAAAAAAAATGTAAAAAGCTGTACGTTATTATATTTCTTTCAGTAGTTGAATAAAAGATTTTGGAATATAATATTTTTTTAAATTTTCAATAGAGTTTGATGATTTCTTAAATTCAACATAACCAAAAAAATTTCCGAGATCGAAAGCGTACGTTGTGAACGAAAACAGTTAATCGTATTCGAACAAAATCCTGTGAACAAAGTAGTTTTTTGCGTTCAGACAAATATGTCGGCTAATCGAAGCAAAATGATAATTTGGAAAATATGATGTCAATGACCAAGCAGCAATTGCCTTTTCCGGTTCGGTCGGATGCGATAACATTCGGCACAAAACTGAACTGCTCGTGAATCATGTTCGCATCTAACCTGTAAATCTGAAAGGACTTTTGAGTAAATTTCTTATTTGATCAACTTTCTTCCTTTCAAAGTAAAATTTATAAAAAAATTTTAAGTAAAATTTTATTAATTCATTAGAGCGTAGTCTGATACTGAAAGCCTCTTAAAACGTTTGTTCAGAGTTTGTATATCCAATTTTAACCAACCAGTCCCCGTGGCACTGGCTAACGAATTCTGCTAACAGCTATTTTGCTTTCCATTATTTAACAATTCCTCGAAAAAATCAAAGAATTGCTGTTATTGTATTAGTCCAACAAAAGTTTTTTTATATTAAAATATTACGTTATTTTTTTCTTGAGACACTCAATAAATTTCATTAAGGAAAGACCGATAAACCTATGTTGTGACACATGTCATTCTTACCTTATAAGACACCAATTTTTAAATTAGAAACAGTTTTAAAGCCTTTCGCGCGCACGTTTGGAGATAACACCCTTCTTATTTTGTTGGGATACATTAGCTGATTTTCATTAATTACAATCAACCCAATTTGAAAAGAAAGCGTTTCAAATTTCAAGTTTCATTAGTTTTAGCAGTTTAAAAAATTTCATTAGTGTTTATTTTTTCATTTTTTAAAAATTTTTTAACCATTTTTGAAATATTTTGACTTTTTTCGAAAACTACCCTCGCAAATCTGAGACTTTAGTTTTAAAAATCGAAACAGTCAAATTTACGATTTTATCACCGTTTATTGAAACTTTTCGATTTTTTCATGAAAACTGCTCTTCCAAATCTAATGAGCAACAATAAAAACAGATATTATGAAAAGGCATGGGATTGGGTTTTTTTTTCTTTTTTGATAAGCTTTGGAAAATTTTTTAGTTTTTTCAAAAATTTAGTTTTTCTCAAAAACTAAAAACCTATTTTCGAAAAAAAAGGATACCAATGATAATTGCGTCCATTTTTTGTGTGTCTGCATACTCTCATAATCTTTTTTTACCTTACCCCACTTTCTACGGGCTTCGAAAAAGTGTGTGGGAGAATTTTTGACCCATAATTTTGGATTTCCTCGAAAACCAGCCTCTCAAATCTGAGATTTTGGTTTCAATGCATAAAACATGTTCAGGTTGTGGGAGGCTCTACTGGAATAGTGGCTGCGCCCAAATTTTTTTTTTTTCAAAAAGTATGGCCCTTAAAAAATCAATTTTTCAATTTTTGACCAGTTTTTGAAATTTTTTGACTTTTTCGAAAACTCAGTGATTCGACCCCCGGCCGACCCAAAAATTCCCTTTTTTGGTACTTTTCAAGAAATCAATTTTTGACCGACTGACCCTAAAATTTTTCTAAAGGCACCTTTGGCGCCAATATATACTAACTTTGAGGGGGAGCGCGCGCCAAAAAAACGCAAATTTTTTTGTCAAAATGTTCCAAAGAGTGCCCTAAAAACAGTTTTTTTTTACCTGCTCTTTTTTCAAAAAATTTGGCCAAAACAGAGTCTTTTTAGTGTTTTAGGATAATTTGGTCGATCTAAAAAAAAAGGTCGTCAAAATGCTCGAAAACTTGGTATTCTAACTTTAGGGCTGTCAGTATCAAACAATTTGCGCTAAACTTTGACTCGTATAAAGATCTTTGGCTCCAGTTTTCGAAGAAATATGAACAATTTATACTTTGAGTAGCTTTTACTGATGCAAAAAAATTTGCAAAAGTTTTTTTTCTGCTGCGCAGCCACGATCTTCAGGACTTTGCCCTGATAAACGTGCAGTCTTTTAACGACTCATTAGCAAACTTCAATTCAATTGCGAACAGTTTTGATTGTTGAAGAGCACCGCGATAAAAAAGCGAGTTACGCTTCAGCATCCTAAGAAATTATCAAAGCGCGCGTACATAAAATGGAAACCTTAGCAACTTTTACCCCACTGGAGTAATCGAAAGAGGATTGCAGGTAAAATACTTTTTACTTAAATTCAGTTAATTGATGTCTCATCCGAGTTTAAACATTTTTATTGAAAATTATTATTTAAATCGCTGATGTTGGTCTGATTAAAAAAGAACCAAATTAAAAATTTTCGACTTTATTTTGATGCGAAGAAAACAAGACAGTCACTTTTTTTGCTAATCAAGCGGTACAATTACCCAAACATACTCCTTCGAAAACCAAATCTGATTGATTTTATCAGGAAATTTGAAGGTTTGGTCCAAAGGTGCAATATCTTGGGTATATCAATTGCACATTAGAATTATCCCACTCAGCGGAAATTTCCGGGCAAAGGAGTTCTTTGGAGCTCTTGTTAAGGGCCAAAAACTGTTTTTTAATCAAATTAGTAGCTGATGGCGTCAAAACCACTTTGGAACAATTGTTTTCCCGGTGGGTGCAAAATAGATGGCATAAACTAGTACCAAAGTGAGTAACCATTGGAGGGTCTTGTTAAAAAAATTTTAGGAACGAAAGCGGTGATACTCCCACTTTCAGCACGTTGGTTAGCCCGTTTTAAACAGTGCTACTAACCGACTAGTTTATTTTGACTTTCACTGATCGAGATGCAATGACTTAGCCAATTGCAGAAACAACAACTGGAGCAGGACTGAAGTCAACCCTAGTCGATCAAGGGAGGTTATCTTGCAAGATCTTGCAAGATTCTTGCAAAAGAGGGTTATCTTGCAAGATCTTGCAAGATGGAGGTTATCTTGCAAGATCTTGCAAGATGGAGGCTATCTTGCAAGAATCTTGCAAGAATCTTGCAAGATAACCATCCCAAGATAACCATCCCAAGCTTTCTGGGGGCAACCGCCTAGCGGGCTGTGCGTATGTATGCGTAGCTAAGATTGCTTCCTTCTTCCACGAACGCTACTTGGTTGTCTCCGCGTGTAAAGCTGTTTTTGCCCAAAAAAATTGTATCTTTAAAGATCTTGCAAAAAAAGGTTATCTTTAAAGGAGGTTATCTTGCAAGATCTTGCAAGAATCTTGCAAGATCTTTTAAAGAGATGCATCCTCTTTAAAAGAATCTTGCAAGATTCTTGCAAGATCTTGCAAGATAACCTCCCTTGATCGACTAGGGAAGTTACTGAAAATAGACAAAATGACTTTTGAAATAAAACTTGAAAACTGAAACACAGCTGAAAAAATGCAACTAAACAATAAAAAATGATCATTAAAAGGTCACAGTTTTCTTACACTAGTGGACCAAATTAAGCGTAAATTTAAATCTTTATTTTCTAATATGAGTGTTTCAATGTTCACATTGGTTTGCAAATTTCACATAGACCAAGAGCAAATGATAAGAGCTACCCTCAATGAAACTAGCAATATTTAGTTCTAACGACTTAGCAATGTAATCCGGGTCTGAAAACAATAATTTTCCTCTTCTTCACCATATTTTGCATCGGATTGAACTGTTTCTCGAATAAGCGGAATAAAAAAATTGTTCGTGCGACGTGAAACATTCTCAGCGAGAAGATTGTAATAATTAGTGTGAAAACTTTACAAAGCCTGGCTATGTCCTATGAGCAAAACTGGCATTTTCAGACCCGGATTATAATGGTAAGTCATTGAAGCCAATTATTGATAATTTCATAGAAGGTAGCTGTGATCATTTGCTCTTGCTCTATACAAAATTTCACGTAGAGTCGAAGTAATTGTTGTTCAAAATGAACAAAGAAAACAGGCACTTTAGAAGTTAACATTGTAACTTGTAGCTTACAACGTTATGGACTCGACTCAATACATGTGTACACTGTTTGTTTTTCGGTTTTTCTTCAATTACATCTGAATATTTTGAACCAATTTACAGTATTTTTTCCTCCCTTGATTGAAACTTTGGATTCAAAGAGACAAAAGTTTGAATTTTTTTGCTAGTATCAATTCTGGGTAGAGAATTTTTGTAAGATGTTAATCATAAAATTGTTCGACTACTTGAAAACTTTTCTTGGATTCCTGAGTGCATTTTCCTTCTTTTGAGCGGAGAGTTCGGGATTTGAGGCGAAAAAATTCTATAGGAAAACCAGAGTAGTCAAATTTTGCCCAAATTGTTTTTGATTTTATATCATCTCTAGTCCAGTAACCTTGAGATTTTTTGCTGAACAACTACTTCCAAAAAGCGCCCAAATTTGGCTTTTTAAATTGATTTTTGCAAAATAATACTCCCAAGTTTGATTTTTCAAGATGTCGAGGAGTCGAGATGGGTAACATTTATTTCGGCAATTTCTCAGTATTATGCTGAAAATAATCGGACTGGGTAATAACGTGCAGTTGTTGTTAATCACAAACAAGGCTATAACTGGCCACCAAATCGGATGTGAACCAAATCGGATGTGTACTCAGCTTGTGTACTCTTGGCTGGTATATACTGGAGAAAGAAAGCAACGCAACCAAACAGTTTGTAGTTTTTTAAGTTTCCTTAAAAAAAGCTTAACACATAAAATCTTCGAAATTTGTGTGCAAAAACAGCACGTTTGAAGACAAATGAAATAGTTTGATCACATATAGTGAAAAAAAATGTGTGATCAAACAATTTTAGTGTTAATGTGATGAATATAGTTTTAAGATGTCGAAAACCTGATTCAGATACAGAAATGTGAAATTTTTGAGCCGGACTCTACCAATGAGTACGTAAAGTAATCGTTTGGCCTTAGACAATTTTTTAAATTAAAGGTAGGTTTTGCGCACAGTATAAAAAAAAGAAGAAAAGAAGCTTATAGCTCCAAATA